TTAGGGTCCACAAAGCCCTCAGGTTGGTGCATATAAATATTTTTATCAAGATCACCATGCAAGAAAGCAATAGTTACATCCATTTGTTTTAATTCCCAATTAAAATGAGCAACTAAAGAAAGCATAATTCTAACAGTAGTGAATTTGACAACATGAGCAAAAATTTCAGCATAATCAATTCCCTCCTTTTGAGTAAATCCCTTAGCTACTAACCTAGCCTTAAACCTAACAGTTTCAGATTCTTGTTTCACCTTAAACATCCACTTATAGTCCACTACAGAACAACTAGCAGGTTTAAGAACAAGTTTCCATGTTTGGTTAATTTTTAGGGATTCCATCTCACTCTTCATAGCACTAATCCATTCTTCAGAATATTTTGACCTTAATGCTTCTTTATAAGTCTTAGGTTCATTGCACTCAAGGGATTCAAACACATTAAAGGCAAACTCAGACATATTACAATCAATCAAATTGCAATCTCTATATCTTTCAGGTTTCCTAATGGTTCTTTTATTTCTATCCCTAGTGAGTTGATAATCATTCAAATCATGCATGTTATCTATTTCCTGCATATCATGCTCCACCTCATTTGGAATAATCTCATCTTGATTTTCTTGTAGCTCAACTTGGTACACATGCGGATGAAGCTTGAACTTGATCTTTAACTATGAATTGCATGTTGCTTCACTCCACAATTCCGCCAACCTCCATTTGATATGATCGTTATGGCGCAATCCATCCATCCTCCAACTGCGTTGTTTGTCTACAATAAATACGAAAACTCAAGTACTAGACAAACAACATTAGTGGTAAATTGTTTGTTAAACATCATCAAAACAAGAAGGCCAACAAGTTCTATTCGTCCTTTCAGCAACCTTATTCTACTGGGGTGTGTAGAGAACATATTTATGCCTTTTAATACCCCAAGTAGTACACAAATCATTCAATTGTTTGTTACAAAACTCAAGACCATTGTCTGTCCTAAGAGTTTTAATTTTCTTTCCCGTTTGGTTTTCAATCATAATTTTCCAGTTTTTAAATTTATCAAAAACTTCAGATTTTTGTTTCATGAGTAAAACCCAAACTTTCCTAGAATAATCATCAATTATGGAAAGAAAATATTGGTTCCCTCCATGCGTAGGCACACTAGAGGGACCCCACACATCAGCATGCAAATATTCAAGTACACTAGTGCACTTAGACTGATTAGGAAAAGAAGAAGTAGGAAAAGTAACCCTATGTTGTTTTCCTAGCACACAAGATTCACAGAAAGGGATGGGGGATATTTTATCACTACCAAAGTGACCTCCTTTATGCAAAATTTCTAATCCTTTATTACTCATGTGACCTAATCTATTATGCCATAAAACAGATTTATCACCTATCACAGAGTTAACAGAATCAAGCACAGGTTCAGCATGACAAATATACAAATTATTTTGTTTTTCAGCAGTAAAAACAACAAGAGACCCTTTTAGAATTTTCATAACCCCTTTACCCCATTTCCCCTCCAAACCATCATTTTCTAGAGATGCACAAGAAATCAAGTTATAACGTAAATCAGGAATATGCCTAACATCCTTCCAAGTAAACACAGAACCAGAGGAAAACCTAAGGCATACATCACCAGTTCCTAAAACATTGTATTTCTTTTCATTTCCCATTGACACAAAGCCATTCTCTATTTTCTTGTAGTTTGAAAACAAGTTTTTAGAAGGAGTCATATGAAAGGTACAACCAGAGTCTACCAACCAATCTGATTTACACAAAGGATCAGATAACACAGAGTTCAAATATGCATAATCACACTGATTATTAATCATAAAAATCTCACCCATTTTGCCCTCACAGACAGCCATATTAGCATGTTCATTTTGCTGATTTTTCTTAGGCTTAGGGCAATCTTTAATAAAGTGACCAGTTTCATGACAATTATAGCACTTTTTAGCTTTAAACCTGGACTTAGATCTACCCCTTCCATTTTCAAATTTTTTCTTACTTGATTCCCCATTACTAGCATTCTTTTGGTAATTAGACCTATTCTGAGGCCTACCCCTCACATGCATAACCTCACCAGAATTTTTATTTCCCCCAGAATGTTTTAAATCTAATTCCTTACTCTTAAGACCATTAACCACAATGTCAAGGCTAATATCATCTCTACCATATTTAATAGCAGATTTTACATCACTATATGAGTCAGGAATAGCATTTAGAAGGGCAATAGGAGTATAATCGTCTATATGTTTATCACCAGTTAACTTAATATCTGAAATAAATTTTGTGAAAATATCTAGGTTCTCCTCAATGTCCTTAGACATATCCAATCTAAATTTGAAAAAATTTTCAAGCAAAAACATTTTACTGGGAAAAGAGGTTTTAGTATAGAGTTCTTCAAGTTTATCCCAAAGAGTTTTAGCACATTCCAAAATTCCAACTTTTCTAATCACAGAGTCAGATAAGTTCAAATAAATTGTGGAACAAGCATTTTCGTTCATTTCCGCCCGTTTATTTTCAGTGTCAGAAGTTAAATAAGTCTGATCAACAGCCCTAAACGACTTCTGTTGAATTAAAATGCATTTTATTTTTTGTTTCCAAATGCTAAAATCAGATTTTCCGTTGAACGGAGCCATACCATATTGAATCATACCATATTGATTAGCAGCCGGCATTTTTCACACAGAGAAAAAATAGATAATGGTATCACAGCAACTAGCACGAGCAAGGGAAAAACAAGAGAAACAAAAAATAAATTTTCCAGGCAGCTAGCACGAGCAGAAACACAAACAGGAAAAATTTTCCAGCAACTAGATAGCTGTTGAGTTGGGTTTTCAGCCGATATACCTGAGCGAAACCCTAGGAGAGGGTTTCGACCTTACCCACGCCCACGCGGGGATGAAATCACAGCGGCGGCCATCAAATCCAGAGATCGCGAAGACTTCCAGAGATCGCGAAGACTTAGGAGGAGGTGAGAACCATCGGGTAGGTGTGGGAAAATAGAGGGGCTAGGGCACAAGTGGGGGAGCTGGGCATTTAGTGGGAATGGGCCAACTTATTGGGCCAACAAAACAACCAACATTCTAGTCTAGGAGACTAAATCCTATCTCATTTATTTCCTAGACCAAACCCAAACAATGAACTGAAAGGATGCGAGATAATCCTGAGAAATCTCCATCTTGACTCGGATCCACACGTATGCACGCGAGGCCAGGAAAGATGGTTAATAGAGATAGCGTCGCAACTTAACACTTTCAAGACGAAAAAAATCACACCAGATGCAAATCAGTATCATGCACGCCCAAGGGAACCTTATCCTGTGCTAGAGCAAATTACACAATAGATATATATAACATCGCGTGCACTCCAACTTGAGCCTTAATCCATTCTGACAGAATCTCAAAGCTAAACAGAGATGCATAGACCCATCAAACCATGGCCTCTTGTACCTATTTTTGGGGGTTGTAAAAACGCACGAACAAGTATTGACTAGGCTAATCTACTTCGGCCATATTGATTAAAACGAATTTAACCCCCATTCGAGTTGTGACTCCAAACATTTAACCATATATCCATCTAATTGCTTCTCTAATGTGAGGCTATATTTCACCCATGCCTTTGTACACCAAACCCACATGACACTCCTAATGGAATCTTAGAACAAACTTTATCAACTTCACAATCCATATTTCATTAAAATTCTAAAAAAAAGAAGCAAAAAAAAGATCCAACAAAACCTCAAATATCTTCTTCTCGGTATATATTACTAAAAATCAACAGAGCTTCAGGATACTGACCTGAGGACTGTAAAGAAAAGCAAAGCTAAAGCTACTCCTGGTAGCACTATTTCCTGCTTTGCGTACACAATCCAAGCGTCAAAGCACGGAAGCTTCGAGAGCCTTCCACTAATTCTCCTTTTCCAACCAGATGTTTCTAACACCAATCTTGAACTCTCATTCTCCTCAATTGCTGATGCACTTTCCAAGGATCGGGTTCGAACGTGTTTAGTAATCCTCCTTTGGCTGCTTTCACTAAGAGAAGGGATACCATTGTACACGGATGTTAGAAGCCAGTACTCTAACCAAACTGATACAATATTCCATAGTGAAAAAAATATTGCTGATGCTTTGAGGGATACAAAGCTAATTATGAAGCCGGTAAAAACAGGGGCACATAGTTTGCATATTAGATCAATCCTTCGGATTACAGAGTTCATTTCTGTCAGCGTCTCTAGAGGCTGTCCATTAGAAATTACGACCACCCTGAGATTTAGAAAGATGTGTGCAGATGAAAAATATGAATATCTAATCATATATCAGGAAAAGCAATTCTCATGAGAAAATAATCGCGATTAAGAAGAACTCAGACCATTAAAAAAGAGAGACAATAACGACATATATGCATGATACTCAGCTTTGTTTAACATATGATCACAATCATGTACCTAAGAGCAAGTCATCCAAAAAAGGAAAGAAAAAAAAAGAACAAAAAGCTATGCCTCCAAATTCAAACTGGTATGCGCCCTAATATATAAAGTGTTTTGAAAAGGTTTAAGAAATACCATTCAAAACCTTAGACATTTACACACGTAAGAAATATTGCATCCCTCACCACAATTGCAGAGTTTTGGTGCAACGGAACGGCTTTTAAAATGGCATCAAAGCAAACCAGACTCAAATTCCATCTGCCACATAAAGTGGATTACAAAGAAAACATAACACCGTGTGAGTCTAGGTTTGGGTCTATGACGAAGGCGCTCAACCAACGGAGGCATATTTGGGTATAAAATTATAACTCTTCACAACCTCAGACTTTGGTGCTGTGGAAAGGGACCTTTAACAAGGTACCAAAGTAACCAAGCAAATACTTACAGAGGATTTTAAAAATGTATCTTTGCATGCGTCCAAGTTTCAGTCCATAAAAGTGTTGGGAATTAAACGCCTAAACCCCTAATGCAACAGAAACGCAGTATAGAGAACAGTACACCAAGATTTACGAGGTTCGGCACCTGCCTACGTCCTCGGGAGCCACACAGTCAATTTCTTATTTAATCTAACAAGAAATTACAAATCAAGAGCAAATCTCTAAACTGAGATTCCTCAAACAAACACTGTAGCTACAGTGTTAATACCCACAATAAAATCCCCTCTTCTCTTTTCTCTCTCTTCTTTAATCCCTTTCTTTATCTCCCCTCAAAACACTATTTGAGAGCTGGAGATTAGAAATCGCTGCTGCGATTTGAGAGAACGCTGCTGCGTTTAAAGGGGGAGAACGCTGCTGCGTTTTGGAGATTTTTCACCGTCGCCAGAGAAAAGTCGGGGAGAAGGAGCAAAGCACCCTAGGGCATCAAAGGGGCTTTTTATAGGTGAGAATTCGTGGGCTAGCGACAGCCTATCGCCAGCGGATGTCCGACGCGAGGGTGGGAGGCGAACGCGGGGGTCGGTGTCGAGGGTCGCGTTCGTCGAGCGAGGGTTGCGTTCGCCCAAAGCCACCATCGCGTTCGCCCAGCTCGAGCTCACCTGCGCGTCTTCGACTTCGCCTGAAGCCGCCGCGACTTCGAGCTCGCCTCGCCTGCAGCTCCGCTCACCTGCGGAGGTTTGGACTCCACCTGATCTCAACAAAAAGGCATCCTCAACCTTTAGGGACATGTTAGAGCATAAACTTATAATCTTTAACCCTCACCACAACTACAGAGTTTTGATACTTTGGAAGAGACTTTAAGACCATGATCTTGCACGAGCTTTTGAGTTACCTTTGGCTCTACTGCAGTGCTAAAAAAAGGATAACATTCAAAACATCAACAGCCAGATCTACATATTTTCTCCATTTGCCCCCTTGGCTAAAGATATACTTCCAAACCTAAAATTTTTATACTGAGATGCAATGCTCTTGGAAAAACAAAAGATGCCAGATTAAGATAAAATGGTAAGGGGTTATCTAGGAAAAGAACATATTAATTAACTTGAAACGACTAAGGTGATTATTTTTCAACTCAAAAAAAAAGTAAGCTGATTATTTACCATTCTCTTTCAATCAATATAGTGCCTGCAAGAGTAGAGAGCACACCTACTGCCCCAGAAATGTTAGTTACAGCTACAAGCAGCATAAATACTGTAGGTGCACTAAACCGAAAACCATCACAGACCAATAGAGCAATTACTGTTCCTCCAGCAACTAAAAATGATAGATTCTGGGTCAACAGCCAAAGTCGAAGAACCTGCGGAAGTGAAAGATGATTATCTGCAGCATCCGTGAAAGTAATGTCCAACAAAAGGAAGAGCTAATAGATTTTAAGAATTCCAGGTACCTGAATATAAGTTAACTGGTTCACCAATTTTCCAATTAGAGGACCAAATAATGCTGTAGAAGCAGCTTCCACTACGCCATAAACGGCAGTAAATAGCAAAGAATCCGGCCAAATATTTATCATGTACAAGCCAACAGAAAATTCCCACATTCTGCACAACAAATTAGGCAAGGTTCTCTAAAAGCAGACAAGAAACCTTAATATTAAGAAATTTAAACCAATACGATTATGCAAAATGCAGATATAAAAGGCATGAGCAGTGTAAAGTTGAGTACGCTATACACAACAGTTTGACATTTTCTCCCACCGCAAGCAACAAAGCCATGGTAAGTAACTACCCCAGCACTGATAATCCGATTTCTTCTCACTTTCCTTCGAGAAATCAAACCGAGAATATTACTCCATGGAACATTGTTACGCATATGCAAATTATTCGATACATTAAAAACAATATTAGAGCGCCTCTAAAACTTTTGGGGTCAGATCATGTATGCATTTCTTCCATATCCAGGCCTACTTCTACTTCTCATATCCCTATTAATTACAAATCCTACCACTCCTAAGTGGTGTACTAATTAGCCTGCATTGTACTGCACATCCATCTCAACGCTTGGTTCAGCTACACTCACATTTTGAACATTCTTTCTTTAGTCCAACATTATCACTAGTAAGGCACTGGAATCATAAATATCCACAGATTTTCTTTTCTATCAATACACTGATATTCTATAATCATTAAAACTCCAAAGAAACTTCTCTATTTTTTAAGCATCCATTTTAAATTTTAGGACTCTTAGCGTCAAAAATCTGGTCATGTCTACTTAACCAATGAGATTGTATTGTTCTTGCATACTATATTTGGGATGAATAGAACTAGAGTATTTTAAAAATAAACTCATAGATGGAAACACGCTTTGTCATCTCACTGTACGATCATCTTCTTTATCGTATGATAGCATTCTCCTATACCAAAATAGTTGACAATCTCAGAGCAGTGTGACATCTTGATTCAGAAATATACATTAGTTATCCTCTAACCCTTCTGTTGTACGCACGGAAATTTCGACAGAGTTTCTGGTGCACAATAAGAGAAAGATTACAATAAGAATTCTCGTCTCAACAAGGAAATAAGAATCTGAAGCGAATATCTTAACAAAGTGAGATATCGGCTCTTCCTCTCATCAGTTCTACAAGGAAATAAGAATCTGAAGCGAATATCTTAACAAAGTGAGATATCGGCTCTTCCTCTCATCAGTTCTAGGACTGACAAAGTGAGATATCGGCTCTTCCTCTCATCAGTTCTAGGACTGACCTGTCGAGGGATCCTAAAAACTATTAGAATGGCCACAAGCTCAAACAAACTAATTTTACGTGGTTCGGCAAACTACCTACGTCCACGGGGTAAGGAGGGGGAAGATCTACTATTAGAGGGAGAGCTACAACTAGGGTTTACAATATCACAACCTAAACCCTCTCATAAACTCTCAGATCCCTCATACAAATACTCTCTCAAAAGGATACTAAAACCCTAAAAGACAGCTGCACAAAAAGAAAAAACCCACACAAATCCCTAGAAAAGATAGCCGAATAGAGGTATTTTTTTTCTTCCCTGCACTTCTGCTCTTGTGCCACTACAACCGCTTTTCTTCCCCTCACGAATTCTGCCTTGCACAAAGCCCTAGGGAACTGCACATTGATACTTATAGGGGGAGAAATCGGGTGGGCCTATCATGATCACGAGAACGTGATCTCTTCATCTCTTCACACATCTATTCGTGGCCCCCACTAGAAATCTCTTCACGCGGAAATGAACGCGTTCACATCTCCTCACGAATTCTCGTGGACTCCACGAGAGCAAAAACCAAAACCCACTTAGCCTTTCACGTGCCTTCACAATTCTGCACCTCGGCGAAGTTTTATCAAAACTGAGCCGACACTAACCAAACAAATGTCTCACTTGTTGCGTCCAGTACGAAGTAAAAAAATTCACGACAACGGACTCAATCCACAACAAGTCAAGACCCAAATAAGAATGCAAACATTCTCCAAATGTTGGTATCAACTCACCAAATCGATCTCACCCCTATCAAAATCCAACCCGACTACATCATAAAGACTGCCTACGTATCCTCTTGCCCAAGGAATCAAGTCAAACGTAGTTTACCCAAATGACCGCGAACGACCTCAATCCAATAGAAGAGTTCGTAACCCTTCTCCAATATCATCAACTCTGCGGCTGATAGCACCTCCAATGGCCTCAAACACCTTCACCTGAGGCAAACCAATGGCCATATCAAAAACATGTCTGCCAGCAGCACTCGAATCAAAACCCAACTCGTCATCTGTATCTAAATCCAAATTATCCCTAAGCTGTGTCACCTCAGCTGAAATCCCAAATAATACAGTATAATCTGGAGTAATCTTCACATAATATGGAGTAGCATCCCTCTCCACCCGCTGTGATACCTTTAAGGTCTGTCCAAAACTCTCCACCTGCTGAGAGTTAATTGGCTTCCTCATCGAAGCCTCATCCAAAATGACACAATCAGACCTATCTTCCAATAGAGTTTTACCATTGGCTTCCTCATCGAAGCCTCATCCAAAATGACACAATCAGACCTATCTTCCAATAGAGTTTTACCTCCAATCACAGCAGTTGACAACTCTTTAATAGGATGACTCAAATATGTCGAAGCCTCAGTCCAGAACTTCTTCTACAAACCATTGCTCGACCACAAATACCGATCCTCCTCCAGCAAGGTACGGTTCTCCAAATTTACCACCCTATCAAGTTGCCTCAAGATTTTTTTTCTAACGAAGTGTCTCCAAATACCGTGAGCTCGGCTCTAATACAGAAATAGGTCCATCTTGTACCTCCTACTAAAATCAGAATGAAATACCTTCACCTTTCTGTCTATCACACAATTCTTCAATCTGTTGGAGACTACTAGGACTTTATCCAAAGGGGATTTGATTGCAACCCAAACATACCTAGAACAGTCACCAACAAAGGAAACCATACTTCTATTACCTCCCAATGATGTCCCCCTTGGAAAATCCCCAAACATCCACGTGAACTCCTCCAGAACGACCCTTAGCACGGTGAATAGAGGTACCAAACTTCACCTTGGTCTTCTTGCTCACATCAACATCAACATGTTCACTGGACTTCAAACTGCAGGTCTTCGCACCCTCTTTTAATCTATACGAGTAATCAATACTGGAATGGCCAAGCCCCAAATACTGTAGTCTAGTCGAATCAATAGAAATCGTCAGTTCTCCACCTGCCACTATACCCCCAGTCAAGTAATACAGGTTATTCCTCCTGACGCCCTTCATCACAATCTGAGAGTCTTTCACAATCTTGAGAACCATGTCCTCAATTCGAACATTCAGACCCTCTCCAACCAAAGCTCCAATCGAGATCAAGTTCTTCCTCAAGGAAGGAACACATCTCACATCATATAACTCCCTAACAGTCCCGTCAAACATCTTGATGCGAATTCTTCCTATCCTAAGGATCTGGTATGCATGGTTATCAGCCATGCACACCACACCACTATCCAGCTTCTCAAAACTAGAGAACCATTCCTTTCTAGGGTACACATGATAGGTCACACCACTATCCAACATCCACTCCGATTCCTCCGAATAGCTCTATGTAGGACTGATAGAAAGCAAATAAATAGAAGAGTCAGAAATATTATCATCCGATACGATGTTTGCTTCTGATGATGATTGCTTCTCTTTTCCCTTCTGCTTATTCTTTATCCATTCGTCGAGCTTTGGGTAGTCTTTCTTCTAATGACCAGTCTTCTTACACCAAGCACACTGATCTTTTCTAATTGTAGGATGTCCTACTCTAGACTGTGACTTCTAATTTTTTCGGTTTGGACCCTTCCCTCTTACGGCCAACGCCTCTGCTACCGACTCAGTCGAAGTCTCCTTATCCTTCTTCCGAAGCTGATAATTTACCAGTACAGCAGTGACCTTACTATACGAAAGAGATACATTTTCATTAATCAGAATAAGGACGAAGGTCTCATATTCCTCGTCGGGCAAGGAACTCAACAACAGTAACGCCTTGTCCTCATCATTAATCATGACATTCACATTCGTCAAATCCGCAAGAAGCTTCGTGTAGTGATTCATGTGATCTCTAATTGAGGTTCCCTTCTTCAACTAGAAACGATAAAGTCTCCTCTTCAAATACAAGCGAATTTTCACACTCTTGGTCAAATACTTGCTTTCGAGAATCTCCTAAATCTTCTTCGCATAAGTCTCATTCATCACATCATATTTTAGATCTTGAGTCAAACAAGACCTAATCATACCACACGCCGTTCGATTCATCTTCTTCCAAACCTTCTCTTCAATCTCATCTGGTTTGCCATCTAACTCTAAGGTATCCTCCAAATTCGCGTTCAGCGCATCTAAAACATCGCATCTCCATAATCCAAAGTTGTTTGTGTTATTAAACTTCTCCACATCTATCTTCATAGAGTAAATATTTAAACTCTGAATAGTCTTCGCGCCAGAAGCACCACCCTCGACACCCGAAACACCTTCTTTCCCCGACATCTTTCTCAACGCACCAACGAACGAAGAATAGATCCAAAACTGAAAAGATAGAGTCTTTTACCAAAAGATCCCACCTTTATCACCAAACAAAGCCCTAGACGAGCTTTTAAATCGATCTACTCCTCCAAATAGCCCAAGCGTAGCTCGAGCTCAGATATCACTTGTTGTGCGTAGTAAAAATTTCGGCAGAGTTTCTGATGCATAATAAGAGAAAGATCACAATAAGAATTCCCGTCTCACTAAGGAAACAAGAATCTGAAGCGAATATCTCAACAAAGTGAGATATCGGCTCTTCATTTCATCAGTTCTAGGACTGACCTGTCAAGAGATCCTAAAAACTATTAGAATGGCCACAAGCTCAAACAAACCAATTTTACGTGGTTCGACAAACTGCCTACGTCAACGGGGCAAGGAGGGGGGAGATCTACTATTAGAGGGAGAGATACAACTAGGGTTTATAATTTCACAACCTAAACCCTCTCACAAACTCTCAGATCCCTCATACAAATACTCTCTCAAAAGGATACTAAAACCCTAAATGATAGCTGCACAAAAAGAAAAAAAACCTACACAAATCCCTAGAAGAGATAGCCGAATAGAGGTATTTTTTTCTTCTCTGCACTTCTGCTCTTGTGCCACTACAGCCGATTTTCTTCCCCTCACGAATTCTGCCTTGTACAAAGCCCTAGGGAACTACGCATTGATATTTATAGGGGGGAAATCGGGTGGGCCTATCACGATCACGAGAACGTGATCTCTTCATCTCTTCACACATCTATTCGTGGCCCCCACTAGAAATCTCTTCACGCGGAAATGAGCGCGTTCACATCTCCTCACGAATTCTCGTGGACCCCATGAGAGCAAAAACCAAAACCCACTTAGGCACTGTTTGGCAACCAAAATAAGTGTCTTATCTAAGAGCTTGTGTCTTATTGACTTGGTCAATAAGGTTGGTGTCTAAGGCAATGTTTAGGGGTTGCGTAAAGCGCTCCGTAAGGAAAGAGGTACTTAATTGATCTGTGATCACCCTGTAGTACTATCCTTACCTGGCTAACTACCTGGGTAAAACTTTTATCTTTTCACTGTAGGAGTTTTTGGTTGAGCTGTTTGGTGACCAAAAATAGGAGGAGATTATTTTGAAGATTGTGTCTTTTGCAAGTAGCTTTTGAAAAGCTATCTCAAGTAGCGTTTGTCTTTGGGAATGAGCTGCTAATTTTTTTTTCTATTTTTACCCCTAATAATTCTAATTTTATATAAATAATATTACATGTCTTTTTTAGTCATTTAACAAATTTAAGCTAGCTGTACAGCTAATTTTGCCAAACAGCTCTAGTCAATCAGCTAGTTATACAGCTAACAGCTTTAAGCTACAATTTCACAGCTTTTAGCTAGCTTTACAGCTTTCAGCTATAATCTCGTAGCTTTCAGCTAGTTTTGCCAAACAGAGCCTTAGCCTTTCACGTGCCTTCGCACCTTCTTCTTAGCTCATCGGCTTATACTTTTCTCTCTTCTCCCAGTCTTCCCTTACGTATATTTCGTATCTGTTTCCCCAAATCAACAAATCTCTTGGGCATGTTGCCCTGAATTTTGAAAAAAAAAATATCTTGATAAATCATTGACCTAAATATGAAAGTGGTGACTTCCTTGGCAGCCGATCTTCCATTTCTTCTCCAAATACAATAGCCTTTATTAGTTATAGTAATATGATCCAATTAAGTAACGTGAAGAAGCACACGTGTTCCACATCTGGGAGAGCACTGTTATATTGTGAAATTCAATCATTTAGAAATAAACAGGGTTCCTAATCATGAAAAGAAAGACAGATTTTAAATAACTTCGTAGTTTATCATGTATTGTAGCTTGACTCCGAGAACTAGTATTATTATCCCTTCACTGCATCAATCAAAACTTCAAAGTTAACATAATTTTGTAGTCTATAAATTTTATTGTCTATACTCAACATGTTCTAGGCTTATCATTTTATGCTCTAAAACTAACATGCCCCCGCACATATTGATCCTTTTCATTTGATTATGAATCTTGATTCTTGATTGTTCTGATATCATATACTACACGTTTACACCAGACTCCGAATTGTGGCGAGGATTCAGAGTTATAATTTTACACTCTTAACACGCAATGAAAAACTCAATAAAAATTAGTTTACAACCATAATAATTAATCATCATTTCCAGAACATAGGTCTCACAACAAAAAGATCGAATAACCAACAGAAAGAAGAAAAAAATCCTAAAATTTCCGATAAAAGGGAGGAATTACCTTGCTCCCCATCTCGCAAGGAAATGACCCATATACATGCGCTTGATGAGAGGAGGACTTAGAGAAGAATAAGAGAGAAGAGGGTGATCCATGCTCTCTTCCATTATTTCTCCTTCTTCTTCCTCTATTAAGAAATGTTTAGGCCTTTAATGTGCCGTAATCCTTCATGGGTCATGGCCTCTGATGCATGTGTTCGGTGACAAAAGCAATGGAGTTGTTGATGATGATGGTGATGATGGTGATGGATGTCAGAGACGTCAGAGTTTTATTCAGAAAAGGTACCAACTCCTCATCACTCTCGAGACTGAGATTTGCCGAGTAGGGTTTGTCTTTTATTAGGGTTAGGGCTCAACCGGGACCGACTTCTAAAATAAATTCTATGAAGTGCTTTCAAAGAGAATTTTAGTGTCAATTTCGAAGGTAGTGCTCATTTTGAATATTTATGTTGTTTACGATGATCCAATATTTATCTTTTTACTGACCTTGTTAAAGTATTTGAATTCATTACTGTTCACATTGATTTTTTTTCCCCACACTAATTTTACTGGTTTAAAACTTGATTATAAAATACATGTAATATTTTCTATATATATATATATATATATATATATATATCATATCATACTCCCTTTAAAAGTACGAGTTAGGAAAATCTTTCCATGGTCAATATTACCCTAACTTTTTTTAAATATTACATTGTTATCTTAATCTATTTTAATTATATTTTCTTTGAATTGATAATTAAATGACTTATCCTATTCATAATGAGATTTAGCACCTAAAAGGAGATACGTTTCATAAATTTCAAATCCTTTACTTATTTCAGTTCGTAGAGAAATCTAAAAAACATGTAGTGCTAGTCAGCACCTAAAAGTTTTTGAACTTTGTAAAAATATTCTCCAAGTTTTTTAAATTGCAAAAACACCCCTACAATTCAAAATTTTATTAAAATATCTTGAAAATTGTAAATTTTCCTTATTACAATTCAGTAAGAAATCTGAAAAACAAATGTTAGCTATCAACTGAATGTTTTTTTACTTTGGAGAAAATATATTGTAAGTTTTAAAAATTACAGAAACACCCCTAAAAATTTAAAAATTATAAAAAACACCTTGAATATTTCAAACACATTAAAAACCGACAAACAACACAAAAATTCCAAAATTTATGGAATTTGCAATAAACAATTTGAACTTTTTACAAATTGTAAAATAAAACCATCAAAATTATAAAATTTATAAAAAAAACTGATAATTTCCAACTTAATAGTACATTAAAAATATAGGAAGTATAAATATCTCATACATAATTTATAATTTAAGAAAACACCCTTAAAGTTTCAAAAATTACAAACAAAACCTCAAAATTCAAATTTTATAAAAAATACCCTGAGAATTTCAAACTCATTAGTAAATTTAAAATATAGGAATTATAAATATATTATAAGAAATTTACAATCTGTAGAAAAGACGTATAAGTTTAAAAAAATTATAAAAATCCCTTAAAATTCATAATTTACAAAAAAACACCATGAGAATTTCTAACCTACAGACACTAAAATGAATATACAAAATTACTAACAACCCCTAGAAAATTAAAATTTTGCTAAAAATATCATGTTCCCTTTAAAAGTATAGGTTTAGGAAAAACTTTTCATGGTCAATATTACCTATAACTTTTTTGAAAATAACATAACTAATTAAAAATCTATTAAGTTATGAAATTTATAAGAAAACACCCTTAAAGTTTAATATATTACAAATTACCCCTCCAAAGTTTGAAATTTTCAATGATTTTTTTTATAAATTCTTGATTTCAATGTAATGTTTAATAGTTTTGTGTATTTATAAATTACAATTTTTTAGGGTGGTTTTTTTATAATTTTTAAAACTTTTGAGGTTGTTTCTCTTGTAGGTTTCTAAATTTTTATTGTATTTTCAGTGTAATACATGGATACGTCAATTAATGATGGTATTAAAGTGAAGTCATTATTAAAATTATTAAGCCATAGTTAAGTGCACACATCACTATTCCTAGGTAGTATAGTTTATATATACAAAAAATTTTAGACAATCTATATAGTAGTTAAAAGGATTTTGTCTTTAATGTACTTTATTTTATAAATTATAGTTAATGTGAACTCACTATATAATTTTGACTATGGTCATCATAATTTTAATACGTTTGATTGTTGATTGTATATGTATATAGACCATAGATTACTTTACTTTCTCACATCAACTAATATTTGGCACTTAATAATTTAAATTATTATTTTTAAGTTTAATATAAAGAAGAGCACTAACAACATTTATTTATTTATCTACAGGATAATATAATCTCAGTTCCTATTTTTTCTTGAGATTTATTCCATAGTTACGCGTATCAAATTAGTAACTAAAATAATAATTATTTATGCTTAAATTTTCCATAGTTACGCGTATCAAATTAGTAACTAAAATAATAATTATTTATGCTTAAATTAGGATGATTATAGTTGGTCACTCAACTAAAATAATAATTATTTATGCTTAAATTAGGATGATTATAGTTGGTCACTCACTATGGAATATTCATGAAGATATATACCTTATTTTCTATAACTATATGCCTTGTCGATGTATATTTTATAAATTAGTTGTTAATTTGACATTTTATGCACTTTTCCTTTGTAGAAATTTCTTCTTTGACTTTTGGATTGTGTAATCACTATATCACTATTCTAGCGTAGAAATGACCTCACTCTAAATGGCTTCAAGCCAATGTTTGAGTTGAACTGAAGTATATATATTATTACTACTATGTGTAAAAATACCAAATAATTACACTTTTCTTTGCCAATTTTCAAAATTTTAGCCTTTTTTATAGTTTTGAATTTTGAGGGTGTGATTTGTAGTTTTTAAAATTTTAGGAGAGTTTTTTCAAAAAAATTATTTTAAGTTTGGTAGTTGTAACTTCTATGTTTCATGTGTTGGTGGTAATTTTTTTAAATGTCAGGATATGTCATACAACTCTAAAATTTTGAGGGTGCTTTTTGTAATTATTAAAAACTATAAATTAATTTTAAAAAAAAATAATTTCAGATGTCTACTAATAGTTTCCAGATTTTTTGTGTACTTGTTCTAAATTTTGAAAATTTAGAGTTTTTTTTATAATTTTTAAATTTTGAAGGAGTTTTTTTATAATTTTTGTAACTTTGAGGTTGATTTCGATAAATTTTAACTTTTTAGGTGCCTGAGGGTAATATCTTGAATTTATTTTTTGTTGTCTGTAAATTTTAAAATTTTAGAATTTTAGGGTGGTTTTTTATAATTTAAACTTTTGAGGGTGTTTCTATAATTTTTAAGATATTGAGGTGTTAATTAAAATTTTAATATTATTCAGAGGCTACTGTTAATTTCTTAATTTCATGTTTGTTATTTTAAGTTTTAAAATGTCAGAATTTTTTGAGTGCATCATGATAATCCATTGAATTCATATATGTTGTTTATAAATTTTGAAATTTTAGAATTTCACGGTGCTTGTTTGTAAACTTTTGAGGGTGTTTCTATAATTTTTGAGACATTGATGGTGTTAACTACAAATTTTAAATTCTTCACAAACTATTATTAATTTCTTGATTTAATATTTTTTATTTGAAGTTTTGAGACATCACGATGGCTTTTATAATTTTAAACCTTTTAGGATACTTTATGCAATTTTAAAACTTTTTAGGATTTTTTTGCAATACTTCATGTATTATAGTATGTTAGCTACGTATAATTTCTTTATCTTAACAAACTAATACCATAAAGATGTTTTATATTTTATTAATATTATTTTTTAAATTATTAAGCTATAGATAGTTCACGTAGGATTATGATCTGATGTAATTATGATTAGAATAGATTAAGATATAAATAAAATATTCAAAATAATGAAGGGTAATATTGACCATTGAAAGATTTTCCTAAACTCGTGCTTTTAAAGGGAGTATGATATATTGAAGAATTTTGTTAATTGGACTATTAAGACCTATTAAGTCTGAGTTTAGAGTTTGCAGACCAATTGGTTAAATAACAAAACCATGTCGCTCCTTTGTTGGGGGTCTGGATTCGATTCATGTGTGTGCCAAAGGTGCTATAAAATGTTGCGCGCAGCGGAAATTTCGGCAGCACTTCGGCAGCACAACAAGAGAGTCAGGTCGCAATAAGACTTCTTGTTTCTCAAAGGAAACAAGAATCTGAAGCCTATATCCTATCCAAGTAGGATATTAGCTCTTCCTCTCGTCAGCTCTAGGACTGCGCGTCGAGGGACCCTAAAAGCTATTACAAATCACACAAAACACCTGCAGCCGCAAAACAATTGCACCGAAACAAGTCCTTGCACTAGCAGCCGCCAATCAAAAGAATCAAATCTCCTGCGCCAAGCCTCCAAAGAAAATCAAAGCTCTTTGCTTTGTACTGCACGCGAAAAGAACCCCCAGCCGAAAAATCAACAAAACCTTGCCTATTTCTCTGCCCTAGGAAACAAAAGCCTATATATAGGCTTTTTCTTCGGGTGGGCCTGGTACCGAATTTCGTGGGCATCCGTGTCCACTCACGCAGTTGTGAAACCGCGTCCACTGCCCCACGTTCACAATTCTCCACCTCGGTGAAGTTTTCCCAAAACTGAGCCGACACCAAAGCAACCAAATGTCCCACTTGTTATGATCAGTATGAACTCAATCCACAACAAGTCGAGAACCCGAATGAGAGTCCAAACAATCTCACCCCATCAACTAATCCAAACCGACTGCATCAAACATGACTGCCTACGTATCCTCTTGCCCAAGGAATCAAGCCTCCCGTAGTTCATCCAAATGGCCGCCAACGGCCTTAACAATTACGAATATGCAACAAGTTTCGACAATGATCAAACTTGTTGCTCGGAACCACCTTAGTGAGCATATCCGCCGGATTATCCTTCGTGTGGACTTTAACAATCTCCACATCGCCATCTTCAAGAACATCTCGAACGAAGTGATAACGAACATCAATGTGCTTCGTCCGCGCATGAAAAACCTGATTCTTCGCCAAATAGATAGCACTCATGCTATCACAATGAATAGTGACGGATCGCTGCGATATACCAAGTTCTTCCAAAAGTCCTCGAAGCCAAATAGCCTCCTTCACAGCCTCCGTACCTGCCATATACTCTGCCTCCGTCGTAGACAAAGCCACCGTCGACTGTAAGGTGCATCTCCAACACACCGGCGCACGGGTCAAAGTGAACACATACCCCGTCGTAGACCGGCGCTTAT